CCATCCCTGGTTCTAAATCGGATTCTTGATAAGGTTGATGAGCCACGAAGGAAGCCACATGCAAAAGTTCCACAGTGATGTGAAATAGTCCAGACTTCCTATTACTCCCACCTAAGTCTTAACTAGGGCCTGCCAACTCAGTGCTTGATGGTTCTACTATGGCAGTAGATTTTTCATCCCAACCCTCACATCAGTAAGATAACTCCAAGGGTGTGATCCTCAATGTCATAGATGAAGAGGACATATGTTCTCTCCTTGTCCTTGGAGGGGGGAATGGGAAGAACAGGGATCGGCTTTGGAAACCTTAGCAGCTTGCTCTTTCGGATTCCTGACTTAACTAGAAAACACTATCTAGCTCCACATGAACCAACATCTTCAAAAAGCCTTCCGGGATGTTGTAAGTTGATTGCCTTCTCTGAACATGGGGAAGGGAGTAGTCAGATCGTTAAAGACAATCAATGCCATTTTATCTTATGTGCTTACGTGCAGGAGGGAAGACACTTCAGGTGATAGTTATGGAACCTAAAGCATATAGTTAGTTGAGTGATTCTTAGTCTCATTTTTTTCAGTGAACATGTTTGATATGAAAATGACAAGGCAGATTTTCTCTTGGGGGGAGTCTACATCTATTTATCTATATCTATCATCTATCTGATAGCAGGAGGGGTGTTGGTGATTGTATAATTTTTCCCTAGCAAGGCAAAAACCACAGTGGGGTATTTCTACCCTAAGTACAATCTTGCATGACATCACACTTCCAGACTTTGATTTTGTTTTCCCTGTCAAACTTAACATGTGGCTTTTTACCCCTCTGGTGTTTCTAGCTCTTACCGCTAATAGAAGAGAGACTAGAGACAAGAAGAGGGGGAAGAGGACTGCCACTGTCTTCTTGGGATATCCTGGACATATCTTCTTATTGTCTCTGCCCATATCTCCTTGTCTAGAACTTAGTTTCATGGCCACACATCACAACAAGGGAGGCTAGCAAATGTTATCACTAGCTTGAGGAAGGGATGGCTCTGCTAAAACTTGGGCCTTTTATTACCAATGGAAGAAGGAAAGAATGGATTTCAGGGGACCATGGCATAAATCCAGTTGTGAATTCCAAGTCTGGTAATTTCAATGTATCATCCTTACCTGAGTCTGGTTCAGATGCTCGCTTGACTCTTGTTTTGTCATTTATCCTGCTTTGCAGGTTTTGTTTCTGCTTGTGATGTGCTGGATGAAAGAGCTGAGGCAAGGCCATTAGTGTGGGGCTTTGTGTTTGTCTGGGAAGCAGTTAGGTTGTGTTTGCTGTTTGTTGCAGCTATAGATGGCAGAGGCTAGCTACAATTTCCTCTGGTGTCCTTGTTGTTGTCTCCTCTTATCTTGGGTTTCCCTGGAGACTCCTTTATGACCTCACTTTTCCTACAGATCTAAGAAGAATTATTGACTTCAAAAAAAATTAAATTGGCCATGAGAAATACATGTTGACAAGCCAATAAATATAATGTCTATATGAAAATCACTGGCAGTAATTTATAATTTAACAAAGAATACCAGCAATCAACCAATACCCAAACCAACTCATGATAGTCCTGGTAATGTAGCAGTAACTGCATGCTTCCTGGAAGCTACGAAAATTTTATGTTCTCACTAGGATACTGAACTGGAGTCTTCAAATATACTTTAGCAATATGCTAATTTTAATGGGTTTTTTGGGGGTACTGGGGATTGGATTCAGCTCTACGACTTGAGCCACATCCCAGTTTGTTCTGCTTTTAGTTTGTTTCCAAGATATGGTCACACTTTTGCCTTGGCTTGCCTCAAACTGGGATTCTCCCATCTGCCTACTGAGTACCTTGGATTATAGGCATTACCACCATGCCCAGCTCTAATTTTAGTTTTGAAAATAGAAATTTATGGTTTCCTAGTAACTCACCTAATAGAATAGTAAAAAGTAAGCCCCCCCCCGCCCCAAATTCCACAAGGACCTTCTCAGCTCTCCTCTGTGGGCTGAGGACCCTTCTTTGAGAATCACGAATGAAACCAGCAGTATTCATGCACTTTATTCTCTGGACCTCTTTCTTATTTCTTAATTGACATAAGGTATAATTAATGAGCCAGGTGTGGTGGCACACACCTAAAATCCCAGCACTTGGGAGGTGGAGGCAGGAGGATCATTAGCTTGAGTCCAACTTGGGCTACATAGCAAGGCTTTGTGTAAAAAAAAAAAAAGAAAGAAAGAAAGAGAGAGAGAAAATGAACTATTATAAGATGTGAAGTTCAGCGATTTTCAATGTATTCACAATGTTGTTTGATAATGACTTCTGTAGTCTCAAAACTATTTTTAATCACCCTAGATAAATACCCTCTACCCATTATAATCACTCCCCCAGTCCTTAATCGTCTACTTTCTGTCCTCACAGAGTTTTCCAGATGGACCTTCATACAGGAGGAGTCATGCACTCTGAGGAGTTGTACACTTTTGTGTCTGTCATCTTTCACTTTGCATATGTTTTTGAGGCTCATCTATGCTGGAGCATTATTCAATATTGCATTCCCTCCTATGGCTGTGTTATAGTCTGTTGTAGTAGGGCTCCACCATAATTTGCTTATTCCTTTGTTAATGGTGAGTTGGACTTTTTCTACTGTGACTGTGAACAGTGCTGTTATTTGTAAGCAGTGGTGCACAAGTTTCTGGGTGGTTAAGTTTTTCTCTCTTGGGTACATGCCAACAAATAGAATTGCTGGGTCATATAGTAATTCTATCTCTAATTTTTTTAGACACCACTAATATGTTTTCTACAGTGAAGTGCCCAATGATAATGATGTGCTTGATAGTCACTTTTCAGACTATCTTTATGTTATTAGAAATTACTAAAGCTTGGATGGGAGCTGGTGGCTCACACCTGTAATCCTAGCTACTCAGGAGGCAGAGATAAGGAAGATCACAGTTTGAGGTCAGCCTGGGCAACAAAAGCAAGACCATACCTCAAAAATACTCAACAGAAAAAAGGGCTGTCAGAGTGGCTCAAGTGGTAGAGCACCTTTCTAACAAGTGTGAGGTCCTGAGTTCAAACCCCAGTACCACAAAAAATTATTAAAGCTTTTAAAAACTATTGAGGATCCCGAAGAGTTTTTGTTTATGTAAATTTATATCTAGTGATATTTACTATACTTAGAAACTAAAGCCAAGAAAAGTTTAAATATCCTTTATTAATTTTTTTATCAACAATAAGAACAAAATATTATGTGTTAAAAACAAAGTGATAACATCAGCACATATCATGCAGCTTCTGGAAGTTCCACTATACACTTGTGAGGAGAATAAAATAGGTAAGCAACATCTTAGTTTATCAAGAAAACATTTTGATATCATAGCCTACTCTCCCCCCAAATGAGTAATGATAATACAATTCAACTTTACTCAAATGTGATTTCTTTTCATTGTGATCTGAGAGTCATCTCAACCTTAGTTTGCTCAGAAAACATTTATTTGGAAGGATTAATAGGAAAATGTGTTTTATACTTGTCTGCTCACAGAAAAGACAGAAAATAGCTCTTTAATCTGTATCTAGACCCTACACAAACATACCCATTATTTTTCATAATGTCCCTCTACCTTTTCAGAAATGAAAAATAGCGTACACATTTCATTAATCCCCTAAGTCATGTGACATTGTTAAGCTGGAACACCTGAGTCAACTTATTTGAGAAGACATATCTTACACAAGGCATTGAACAAGAACCTTCTCCAAAGCCTCAGTACTGGAAACTGATTTTTTCTGGCAGGAGTTGAGGGTGGGTATGCACAGGGATAAAACAGTGGTTGTAGCAGAGTCATCAGCATCACCTGGGAACATGTTAGAAATGTGAATCCCAAGGACTGTGGATGTGGCTCAGTGGTGGAGCACTTGCCTTGCATGCCTCAGGCCCTGGGTTCAATCCCCAGCACCACAAGAAAATAAACAAAAATGTAAATCCCAGACCTACTGACTCAAAGACTCTAAGATGGGGCCAGCAATCTCAGTTTCTATAAGGCTTCCCGGTGATTCTGGTTTGCTCAGCTTTGGGCCATATTGGTGGATCACTGGCATATCTTTCCATAGTTAATTTCTCCCTTTCTAACTTTCTCTTCCTCCTTCCATAATAAACGTTGAAAGTACGGATCCCTCTTCTATGATATATATTAGAAACTGTACAAATTTGTACTTTGTGTTTCTACTTGTAAACATTAAATTAGTGCAGGGAAATTCAATATTTAATTTATAGCAATCCCAAAGAAACAAACTCTCTCTCTCTTTTTTTTTTTTTGACAAAGTCTCATATGTAGCCCAGACTGGTGTCAAACTTGCTATCTCTCTGCCTCAGTCTCCAAAGTTCTGGGTTTACAGGTGTGTGTTACCATGCCCAGCTGTAACGAACCCTTAAAGAGGTCTATTGGGGAGGTACAGCATTTTGAAAAGTATAATTCATGTCTTGGGACCTAGTTTATCCTATGTCTAACATTGACTACAGTCAAATGCTTTTAAATATTGAAACTCTATACTGCCAAGGGCTCAGCTGCCCTGTTTTGGCATTACCCAATAATTACTCTTCCATAGATTCCATTATTTAGAAATTCAAAACTAAAGCCTCAAGGAAAGGGGGTTCACTTATATTATTGAGCTAAGGACATGAAGAGTCCTAGTTATCAGCCTGGAGTTCTTAAAGAATGCTCTTTAAGCAGTGTGATCAAGAGAAGAGGCTAGTCAACCAGAGACTGGAAGGAAGGTGAGGGGAAGAGGGAGGGAGCAAAAAAGGAGGGAGTAAGAGGGGTGAAGAGAGAAAGAGAGAGAGAGAATTTACATTAGTGCTAGGCTTTACCTGCTATTTCCAAACTGGGAAGCTAAGATGAGGTCAACCCAAAGCTACTTTTCTTTACATTATATATGGTATGGAGAGAGTTCCACACCATTTTAGCTTTAATCAACACATATACATGAAAATAAGACAGAGAGTTCTGTTTTGTTCCTCCTTTTCCCTTTAAAGACCTTGGACTTGCTGCTTCAAAGCAGGTAGCACCACCCTTTGATGGTACAGACTGGTTTGATGATGAGTTGCAGTTGCCTGATATCCTGTGATGTGACTTCAGAACTTTCCAAAACCCAAGGGAGCAAAGGAGATGACTGTTGGGTGCTTAACATCTTTGATTTTACTTGTTTTTCTGACTTTAGTTGGCTGTCCTTGGCTTCTTACCACTCTTGGTTTTCTAGATGGTTCTTCTACTCTTCTTCCTGAAAGTGATAGAATTCAGTCATAACTATATGTGTAATACTGTACCAAGAAAAATGTGGTCTCCGCTCTAACTCTGTGGGTACCACATTCTCCTTTAGTCCCAAATGAGCTACTAACTTTAAATTCTACCCCAGGGCACTGTTACCTTCCTACCTGATGAAACCCAACCTCAGGGTCTCTCCATCCCTCAAAGGCCCAAACTGGCTATCCAAACTTAGTCTCTGCTTTGTGGCTCTTGCAGCATTATAAGAATCACAGTGCTCAGAGTGGATTGAAGAATGAGCCCATGAAAGCCCTCCTCTTCCTGGTTAGTCCAGGTAGGATGGTACGGATGTAGGGGCTAAGTGGGCCTGAGGGAATGATGTCAGGATTGGCTGTGCTTTGTGGCTAATTCCCAAGGGGCACATTACTTGAGACACTTACATGACATATTTCACTCTAGGATCTGGTGGCTATGGGGTCCCCCTATCACACATATGACTTGTCCCTCTTTTTTTTGCAATCCTCCTACCTGTGCCTCCCAAGTAGTTTATACCACCATGTCTGGCTTTCACCTCTCTTTTTAACCCTCAACTTCTACTCAGTCAGCAACTTCCACTACTTTGACTTCTTTTATGTATTGCTTCTTTTCCTCATTTTCAACTTATATCCACTGACTTATTTAAACTTTCATTGTCTTCTGTGTGGCTTTTTCCATTGTAATGTAACCAAACTGCCATCCATATTGTCCACTGTAAATCAAGGCCCTGAGTTTGATTCCCAGAACCACAACAATAGAAAAAAATCCAGTTCCCTTAATTCCTGAAAATTTAACCTGTGTGAGCCTGCTGGAACACATCTCTTGTCAACAAACAAACAAGCAAACAGCTAACACTGTCTGGCTTAGATGGGATGATCTTTCAGCAATTCGGATACATAGTGTTGGCTTGGCCACAAGAGGGCATCATCCAATGATGTTACAGTCTAGGAAGTAGAACTTTTGGACAAGTTCTCTGGCCAGAGGGATCAAAACAAGATTTATGTTTGAGTTTACCCAAAGATTGTAACACTGAGAGGCCTTGTTGAAATTTATACAGTTTAAGACCGTTCTTTATTTCACAACATAAACTGAACCATGACTGCTTCCAAATAATCTTGTCCTGTGTCCCTGAGGGATTTGGTCTTCAAGACATCAAATGAAAAGATCCTTGTCGGGCACTTGGGTTGAATTGAGGAAGGAGAAGGTCTAAAAAATATTAAGAACTTATAATACATCAAGCACTTTATCTGCTGTAATCCTGAAATAACACTTTGGAGAAATGGATAGACTACCAAGGCCAGGAATAATTCCTAATACAATAACCTTGGAGGGCTTTTTATTTGCACTGAAACAAGTTATATTTTTTAATCCACATGAGGAAAATTATGAGTTTATTGTGGGCCAGATGATATGAGAATGAAAATAGTTTACTTCTTTCTCTCTCTCTCTCTCTTTTGCTGTGCTAGCTAAAGGATCTAATAGCTTTGGAGTGTGAAAGTGGATTCATGTCTTCTCAGGTCTTTCTGGGGAGTTGACATCACAATCGCCCAGAGTTTGCTCTGGCTGTGTCAGGGAAGCCCCAGATCCTCAAGAGAAGGACATAGTGGATCTCATAGTCTACTCTTTAAAGGGAGAGAGGAAAGTGGCTTTTCTTAAAATGGTTTCACCTTCTTAATTTTTTTTATTATTGATTTCACAGATTAGTGGGTTTCGTTGTGACATTTCATACTTGTATATTATGTATTGCAGTCATTCACCCCCAACCATGCTCTCTTGTCCCCACTGGTCTTCTCTCTCCCAAATTGACTCCCTTCTGCCTTCATGTCTTTTTTTTTTTTAATCTAGATTCTACAGATGAGTAAAAACATAGGAAGGAGTCTGGCTTATTTCATTTAACATTATGACTTCAAATTCCATTCATTTTCCAGCAAATGGCATTATTTCATTCTTGATTATGGCTGAATAATAGCACATTTTCTTTATCTGTTCATCTGTGGGTGGTCACATAGGCTGATTTCATGACTTGATGATTATGAATTATGATGCTATAGAAAATGGGTATTCAGGTATCTGTACTGAATGCTGATTTAGATTCCCTCAGGTATGTACCCAGGAATGATATAGCAGGAGCATACGGCAGTTCTAATTTTAGTTTTTTGAGGACCTTCCATATTGGATTTCCATAGTGGTCGCTCTGATTTACATTCCTCACCAGCATTTGTTGCTAATTGTTTTCTTGGTGACAGCCATTCTGACTGGGCACCTTCTTTAGGCATTGCTCATGGACCAGACCTTGGGGTGCTTTGCTTACTCTGTTCTTTGACTAGTTCTTGACAATGTTAGACTCACCATCTGCGTTGCCAGGTGAGCCCACTCAGAACGAAGACACTAATCAGTAGGAAGACACAGCCGGCCACTGTCAACAAAGAGGGTGTTCAGCAAGGGTTTGGGGCTGGGAATTGAGGGCAACAGAAGCTGGATTCATAAGGCAGGTGAGAAAGTCCCCCAGGTGAGCAAGGGCCTCCTGAGGAGGTGGGTGCTACAGTTTCTGCTTTCTCTTTCCCTGCGGCTTTCTTAGGAGGTTCAAGGAGCCAGGGTAGGTAAGCATCAAAGGAGCATCTTTAAGGAAAGGGACTGCTGACTGTTCTCTGGGGCAAACTGACAACCAGCAATTGAGAAAGGCTCAGGAGCCAGGCCTCATTGAAGAGGCTGCTAGTGAGGTTTGTGTGGGGGAAAGAAATATTGAAACATAAAGAGAAATACTAAACACATTGCTGTCTCCTGAAATTATTCCCACTTTCCAAATGCTGGTCTGTGGAGGGCCCAGAGTCTGCCACTTGTTCAGTTGTCTAGGCAGATGGAAGTAGCTATAGTGTTTATGGACCATGTTTTTCTGTCTTCCTGGCTGTACCATCCCCTCCTCTATGGCCTCCCACCTCATTCACAAACATGGCCATTGTCTCTTCAGATGCACACAGGAGGAACTGGATGGGGACTGGTTTGAGACTTAACTCACAGTACACTATAACTGACTCCTGAGTAATGTTGCTATCTGGATTCATCTTTTACTCTTATAAACATTAGCACAAGGAGAGGATCATTTAAACCAGCCAACCAACCTGCTCATGTCTTGATCTGGTGTACATTTTGTCCCCAAATAAAATAATACCACTCACCTACTACCTGATGCTCCATTTAAATATGAATGTCTTCATAGTTGTAGCCACTTCTGTAGGTTGTTGGAAATCTAGAAAAAAGAGAAAGGGGAAAATGCTTAGTTTTTGCCAAGTATAGGATAGCAGGAGGATGGAGAGAGTGGAGGCTTTTCAATAGATTCAAAACACAAAGACTGGGAGAGGAAGGAGCAGAGTGCCGATGTTCCATCCCTCTGCTTGGAGACCTGCACCTCGGTCCTGTGATTCCTTCCTCTGGTACTTGCTTTGCAGCCTGCAGACTTCTAAGGTCTCCTCCCAACTCTGCCCATCTGCTGGATGGCTTGCATCGAGCACTATTTGCCTTTTCTTGATTAGCCATGAATACCCAAGTGCCCATCTTCATGGAACCATTCTCTGTACCTGTCGTGGCAGGAGGGCAGGAAGTCTCACTCTCAGTAACAGCATCCACGCTCACTTGAGAGTCTTCTTCACCTGGGGGAGAGAGTAAGCAATGCTTGTGGAGCCCAGGATTGGAGTTCTGGAGTCTCACTCCCCATCTGCGATCCCTGCTTTCTGTAGCTGGCCCCACATGTACCTGCTGCAGCATGACTCCTGGTTTGGACACATCTTTAGGGACACAGTTCCTCATCAGAACCACAGGGAAGCAGTTAAGTGGCATTAGTAGAGCAGGTGAAAGGGACCTCTGATTCTTAATGTGGCTATCTGGGGAATTCTCAGCAGCTCTGTCTCCCCATCTCCCTATTCAGCCCTAGCTTCTACCTTCGACTTGGAAATGGGTCCTAACACACACCGAAGAATCATTGAATGAAGTGGAAATGTATAAAGCCTTCAGTCTTTGACAGGTCCTCCATTTCTTCTGGCTATGATCAGAGACCCAGAGCCTTGCCACTTCAGCCACTTACTAAGGAAGTCATTGGCATGCCCTGGCCATTAGGGTGGTTCACTGGAGAGAGGCTGCGGAAAAGAAACAGCATCCCCAGAGGACCCTGGAGGAAGTCATGGGGTGTGAGAAAAGGGGGTGTGCAAAAAAAAACCCAGAAACACTCATGGGTGACTGTGAGTGACTTTGGATTGTAGAAATAGTAAATATTTCAGAATGAAGACAGCAGAAGACCTCAATGCAAGCAGGCTGTATTGTGCAAGAGTGTGCATGTGCACATGTATGCTTGAACAAGCCCTTCCCTGCACATTTGTACTATTATCAAAGCTCAGGGGGAGACCTGCACAGGAAGGAGCACTGTGCATCATGCACCAGGAAAAAGGAAGACGTGCATGTGGCAGGGCTGGACTTTCCTTCTGAATTAGGGGAAGTCTTGGTAGCCTGGTGAAAGTAGTGGGATTTTAGAATCAGCTAGACAAGGGGGAGCATTATCACTATGGAACTTTGGAAAACTTGAGAGAACGTTCCTTTTCTGCCTATGACTATCACCACTCAGAGCATAGGGCCACCTTTGGTGCGGGGACCTTAGAGTTCATCTGGTCTATTTCATTAGAATGAGAGAAAACTGAGACCCAAGAGATCAAGTGGCTTGCCCAAGGAGTCATGGCAGGTAAAGTTGGAACTCCCACCTTGGGCAGCCAGATGGAGAATGATAGAGTGGACCTAAGAAGAACATAACCTACCTGGAAACTGATGGTGCTCATTTTCGTTTATGCATGTGAGCTGGGGACGGGTCCACCTGGTCTCCCCACAAATCATTTTGCAGGTGCTTGTGGCAGGATGTCTTTGTAGGGCCTTGTATCCCTGGATGCACTGATAATGAACTGTCTGTCCCACCATGAAATGATAAATTCTCTTTGTATCTTCATGTTCCCAGAGAGGGGGCTCCCTGCAGTAACCTGTAAGAGGGAAAGAGAATTCTGGAAGCAAGTTGGGAAAAGCATAGTGAGTGAATCAGGGTCACCTCCTGCTAGAGACTGGACCTTGGTTATAATTTTTTGTTCGTTTGTTTCACTCTTTTGTTCAACCTACCTGTATTGAGAACATCCACACATCAGGATACTTGCTAGGTGCTGTTGGAAGGTACAAAGACCCAGTCACTCCTGCAAGCATTGGCCAGTAAATTGGGTAAGAAAGATACATGAAGGTGGAAGGTGAAGAGAATTGTAGGTGGGGAGTGGAGAACATGGACTAGAACACAGTGGAATAAGTTATTCATTCTGATTGATGCTGCCCTAGATGAAGAAGCACCTGAACCATCTTCAGAAAGATAACGAGGGCTTTGAGAAGCAGACAGGAGGGGCAGCTGGAGATCATCTGGGGACCATGAGGGAAGACCAAGGACAAAGCCAAAGCCCAAAGGAGGGAACAGCTGAATCTTAGAGAAATGGAGCATGACCTCTGATCAAGCCATGCTTGAAGCTTGATCCACATGAGTCCTGTCAAGCCTTCTGAAGATCTCCTAAGCTCAATAACTTTACATTCACCTGATTAAACCCAGGCCTGACTGACCTTTGACCTCAGAGGTCACCTCCTATTCTGATTTAATCTCAGGATTTCCCAACAACTGTCCCCAGTCTGCTCATATGGAACTGTATGTACCTTCTAACCCCAGACTGTGAAACTTCATATATGCTCTGAACTTCCAGACTTTCCACAACCCCAAGTACCCAAAATAACCTCTAAAAGCACCCTATATAAATCCTGTGCCCCAGCAGAAAGCCGAGTGGCCCTGACTTGAGCTAATCTGTCATGTTGCACTTTGAAAATCATAAATTGAACTTGTGTTCAGAATAACATGTTCTTTTAAGGTCAGTAAAATTTATAACTGTCTGAACTTATTTGAATTGGGTTTGTTTCTTTCAAATGTGAACATCTAAACTATGACAACTTATGAAACCTCTGTCAGCCATACCAGCTGGTCATCTCTTGAGTAAGAACACTAAAAGATTGACCTTTGTGAGACCTTTCAATAATTGTGGAGGGTCACATGGGGAAGCAGAATAAAACAAAACATTAAATGTGCCTGAAACACCCATTCCAAGACAAAGTTGGAGGAGGAAAGATATAAAAGCATATTGCAACAATGCCACTGGATTGGTCTTTTTCCCCCTTAAAAACTGAAGCTGCAAATAAAATCAGAGTAGTTTAAAGTAAGTGCTTAGAAGAAAGATCCCTTATCTAATCCTAGAGACTTGAAGTCTTACTCTGATCCTATTATATGAGCTTGGCCAAATCCTTTAACTTCTGTCTGTGCCTTGGCTTCTTTAGTAAATTGAGAAAGTACTTCCTGTTCCCTGACTCATTGTTCATGAGGCCCAATGAGATTACATATGATATGATAAGCTCTTTGTAAGGTTATAAAAGTAGCATAGGGGGACTGTGGAGTCTCATTTAGCCAACTAGTCCCCCCAAAGCTCAGACTTTCCAGGTGGGCTCTCTTTCTCCTTGACGTTATGACTTAACTTAAGCATTATTCATTTGGGAAAGCTGTGGGCATGTACAGTGTGCTCTGTCATTCACAGCTCATTAACTAGGAGACATTTGTCAGGAGCTTTTAACAATTGCCAGGAAAGGAATGGGTGGGGTAGTGCCTGTCTGTAATCCCAGATAATTGGAAGGTAGAGATAGGAAAACAGTGGTTCAAGGCCAGCTCAGGCAAAACTTAGTGAGATCCTATCTCAAAAATAAGTGAGTGTGGTAGTCCATACCTCTAATCCCAGCTACTTGGTAGGCAGAGGTAGAAAGATCTCAGTCCAAGGCTGAGTTGGGCAAAAGCATGAAAGAACAAGGAGGCATGGATAAGTGGTAAAGCACTTGCCTTACAAACCTGAAGACTTGAGTTTAGTCCCCACTACCACTAAAAAACAACACAGGGAGGGCATTGCACACATTGTTAACTCTGTCCTGTAAGAAATACTTTGATATAAATTGCTTTGCTTTGTAATTCGTTTTTCTTTTAAGAGAAAAACACAGGATTTCCGTGAGGGCAAGGACTGTTGTTCGACTCGTGTTTGTGTCTTCTGTTGACAGTGCCTGTCACACAGTTCCAACACATGTTTTGAATTGAACTGAGTTGAGTTGACTTGGATTCTCTCCCGCTAGCTCCCAATATCCCAGGTTAGCTGCTAGAAGAGTGGCTTGAAATGCTGAAGAAGCAGCCTGCCAACATTAAGCAATGGATCTTGTCTTTATGACAGAGGAGAATGAAGTGCACATATATGTGGTTCATGGGACAGACTTTCCTCTTTTGGGGACTACCTGCAGAAGAAGGTCAGCTCCCATGTGTCAGTTCAAGGCAGTCATTCATATGCATCTCTTACCTGCAAGGTTCAGTTGGTCCTCAGGCTGTGTTTGAGTTTGCATTTCTATGGTTGTTCTTTCTTTCTGTTCTTCAGGTGGAGGTGTAACTTGCTTTGCTATGATATTATTAGATAGAAAATATGAGAGGAATGAAGCAAATAACTTCCCAAATGTTTAAATTAGAAAACACTTTTCATGTATTCATCACTCAGGGCACTCTGTAGTGTTCAAGATAAGCCCACATTCTGGGTTACAAAGATGAGTCAGGCACAGCCTTCCCTTGGGAGGGGCTGGCTCATACCTACCTGCACTGGCCTCTCCATTACTCATACACATGATGACAATGTATACAACATGTTTCTGGAAGAAACGAAAAATTTTCTGGTGGAAAATCCTTTTTGTGTATGTGCATTAAAAGCAATTCCTTTCTTGCCAGCAGTTCTGTCAGTGTGATGGCAGTGAGGCATGGACTGACTCTACAATCCAATGAATCCTTCATCTCCTAAAGCTGTTCAAAGCCCTTAAAGTTGGAGCAATGCAAGAGTAAAGCAATGGCGATTGTATCTGAACACCCCAAAAAGTGGGGATTAGAGCTCCATCCTAGGATACGGGAAGGACCTGCTGGGAAATGAGCCAAGGAGGAGCTTCAACAGAGTGTCAATCTTCAAGCTCTGCGTCCATGCATGGGTTGACTCGCTCACTTATACCATCTCCAGGGTTAAGAGACAAAGATGAACAGACTCAACACACTCGCCACATTTTAATCCCACCAGGTAGATTAGAAACCTAGTCAGGACATAGGGCTGTGTGAGGGAGCTTTTAGGATTCAAGGAAGAATGGTCAGCAGCAAAGTCATGACATCAGATCGATTTAGGCTTAACAAGCCTAGAAAAGTTCTTGGAATTGGTAGATGCTCACTAGGTTATCATTTAAACTGGGTATGGTGGCCCATGCCTGTAGTCTCTGTACTCAAGAGGCTGAGGCAAGAGGACTGAGAGTTAGAGGCCAGCCCTGGGATACACATAGTGAATTTGAGGTTAGTCTGGGATACATAGTTAGCCTCTGTCTCAAAAAAATGTTTAATGAGTGATTGTTCCAGAAACTACTAAATGAGTTATCCTACAGATTGAGCTTGCCTTTTTTGTCTATAAGAACAAAGCTTGGCTGTGTCTCACACTATCCTATGTTCTTTTCACACTTTGTATTACAAAAATCAACTTACAAGTGCTTTACATATGAATGTGGTTTGTACCCATGGCAGAATTTTCTGTGCAAATCATATAGGATGACCCACATTTTATTCTGCGGAAACCTCTCTTGCATTCACAGTTTAACTTAGTGCCATTCTTGTAGGCGAGGGCTTTGAAGGTGGCATGGTTGATCTCCGGCGGATCATTCACACAAAGCTCTGAAAGAGAACGAAGCATGTTTCAGACATTCCCACGTTTGATCATGTAATGACTTAATCACATATTTCTTCACTTTATTTAAAGAATGTATATATATATATATAATATATATATTTATGTATGTATATAAGAAAAATGTCACAGGGTGGATAAGGGAGGAGGATGAAAGAATGGCAGGGACAGGAAAAGATGGGAAGTGAAGCCTGTGTCACAGCAGCCAGAGCGAGTCTTTGCATCCATGGAACCATGAGGAGGCCCATCTTGCCCTCCTGCTATACTCATTGCCATTGGTTGGTCTTTGTTTATTGTGATGGTTGATTTGGGGTGTTGACTTGAATAGACTGATGGATGCCTGGAGTGTGCCTGTGAGGGCATTTCCAGAGACAATTGGCTTGTGGGTTAGCAAGAGGTCAATATGGAGCAAAATATAATTGCACCATGCAATCTTGCTGGGATCTGGATGGAACAGAAAGCATAAAAGGGGAAAGTACTCTCTCTCTCTCTCTCTCTCTCTCTCTCTCTCTGTCTCTCTCTGGTTCTTCCTCCCAGAGCAGGTGCATTTTTTGCCACTTCTGCCTTGGCGAACAGACTCCAGATTCTCTGGCCTTTGGACTCTGTGACTTGCACCAGCAGCTCTCAGACTGGAGGGTGTACTGTCTTTCTCCTTGGTTCTGAGGCCCCTGCTTCTCGATCTGAGTCATCGCTATTGGATCTGTAGCAGCAGATGACCATCATGGAAGTTTTCAATCTCGGTAACCACGTGAGCCGATTTACTAAGAAATTCATATTATATTACATCATTGTTATAATGTCTTATTAGTTCTCGTTCTCTGGAGAACACTGATTAGTACACTAATTAATCACTCAGTTGAAGTGAAGCTTCTCTGCCCTTAGACCCTATCCAGCACTTTGGCCTTCTGAAGACCACACCGCACAGTGGCTCCAGACCCTCCAGCTTCCTTAAGGACTAAAGCTAGGGGGGAATTTGGATAGCTTGACTCACCTCTAACCATGGAGGTACTAAACAAAAGCAATTTAAATGTGTGTGGCAATTATGGTGGAACAGGTAACACAGATACTCAGTAACATCTGATAAAGCAAGCAGGGCAGCAGAGTGAACAGAAGAGGATATTGGATTTCTAAATTCCAGCTCCACCAGCTTTATTGTTCTTACTGCTCAGCTTCTTTTTCTGTCAAATAGGTGTCATGATAACAGTTTTACTGATTAAAAATTACATGGAATAATATATTAGGAAAACTTTTGGAGGGCCTGGCAAGTAGTAGGCATGGAATATATGTTAATTCCTTTTTTGGCAACCCAGGGAAAGAGAATGGGTAACTCAGATAGAGACCGGGCTGAAGTTTGCCTTAACCTTCAACTCCTGCAGGAGGTCATCTCTCTCTACTGCCCATGTCATTGGTACTGTTTGCTGGAATTTGTCATATGTCAACACCATCCAATGTTTTAAGTGACAGAAGGTAAATCTGTTGCTAATACTACATTGATAATAACCAAAAAGCCAATGAAGACTTCTACTTCTGGCCATGACAGGATATCTGGGACCAAAGTTACCTTGCTGCTGAAAACAACTATAAATCCAGACCAAATATGTATAGAAAGTTTTCAGGTATTGAGCAACAGGTAATTCAGAGCTACATTACTTAAGAGCAGGTAAAAAGGGCCCACAGTTGCTTTGGTGTCTTCCTGGGTCACTTTCCTCCCAGGCAGCATGAAAGTGAAACCTGAGCACCGTGGTGGCCTCATTGACTTGGTATGCCTGGGATCTATAAGGTGGGGCCCTGGAGAGGGGCCCAAAAGGGACACCAGACGTATACATAGGGATTCACCTCAGGTTCTTAGCCACCAGTTGGGCTGCACACAAGCAGGGTGGAAATCAGTGATATCTAGAAGAGTATCTGTTGTGGGCACTGAGAGAATAGTGACATCACATTTTATCACAAAAGCTACCTGTGGGCTGTAGCTTCCCAATCCTGCTCTAGAGAAAAACACTTTCCTAGAATGAATTTCAAAACTAAAATAGAACAGTTCTTACAAAGACAAAAACCACACCTGCCAGACAGGAGGCTACACCAGTCCTCTAAATTCAACTTGCCGTGAGAACAAAAGTCAATAACATCGTGCAGAATGTCTATAATAATTCATAATACCCAGAAACTTAAAAATCACAGATATGTAAAGAAAGGAAGATGAGACCCACTTAAGAGAACAGTGACTAGAAACAGATCCTAGGGGCCTGGGTGAGTAGCTCAGCCCAGCTTTTTAAAAGAAAAGTATATACCTACCCTATGAGTCAGCAGTTCCACTCTTAGGTATTTATCTCAGCAGAGTGGAAGGATATGTCTACAAAAAGATTCTTACAAAATAGTTACAGTAGCTTTATTAATAATGGACTCAACAACTTAAATATCCATCATTGGCAGAATGGATAGAGTATGATACATCCGTACAACCATTCAATCATCAAAACAGTGCACTACAGCCACACAGACACAGATGAATCTCAGAAATACGTGTTGAACAAAAGAAGCTAGATACAACATAGTGCATGCTGTTTGGTTTCATTTATATGAAGTTCAAGAAGAGACAGACTTAAATACAGAGAAATCAGGACAGCAGAATCTTGTGGTAGGTGGTGTCAACTGGAAGGGAGAAATAAGGTGATAGAATGTTGATTATAGGGTGTACACATTTGTCAAAACTTATCAAATTGTACACTTCAGATCTGTTCATTTCTCTACAAATAATTTCACCTCAACAAAATCAATAAAAAGTGTACTTAGCAATTCTTCACTAATTATTCATTAGCACAAATAGTCAAGGACTGACCTCAGATGCATTTGAAATTTAGCATCTCAACCACAAGCCATGGAAGTTTCTAAATACTTAAAATTGGAAAAGGTCAGATGAGTTATTTTTGAGGCAGCTTTGTACCCTTAGAAACACTTTAACATGGTGGCGTGTTTTTCTAGACAAGCCATGGAAATTTTCAGAGTCATCATAAATTAACCTCAATGTCTGAGGGGTCATATTGGGACAAGGGGAAGTTCCAGAACTTCCTACTCTCACAGACTTTCCTGTCACAAACGAATCTTTCCTGGAATTGAAACATGGAAACTTCAGCTCTATAGCTGAATAACAAGCAAGGAGCTTGTCTATAATCCGTTTTTCCTGAAAGTCTTACTAAGGGTGTTCCAAATATAATCTGAAGAAAATGGGAGGTAGAAGAGTGTGTAGGAAAGGAAGCCCTGGAAGTTTGCCTTTTTTTAACCTAACAGGAATAAGTCTGGATTTCTTTTTTTAGCTCTTCTTAGTCTGATGTCAGAAAAGAAATAGTAGTACACCATCCAAAGAATAATAAAAAATAATTTGTCTAGAATTCTCTCAGAGGTAACAAAGGAGAATTCCACTTACATGACTTAGCAAAAGATCTTTAACTACTTCTTCCCTACATAATCACTCTTTTTACAAATATATAATGCAGAGTGGCAGCTGCTTTCATTCTCTAGTTTTATTCATTAAAAACTGAAAGTACTTCCTGCAAATTCAGCTAACATTGGCTTTTCTCTGTCTTTACTCTTGCTCCTAATTTTCCAGATCTGCTTCTTCCTTCCACTGGTGGCTCTGAATTTTTTTAACATCAATCATTTTGTCCACCGGTCATTTACAATTCTAAGCTCTACTAATTCTCCCAGCTCCCACCATAGCGGTCCTGGAAACTTGGGAAACTTTTCTTTAGAAGGTAGGAAGGGGAGTATTTTCTCCCCATATTTTTGTCTGTTTTGGTGGTAGTACTTGACCCCAGCCCTTTTGCTTTAGTTCATTGTCCAGATAGGGTCTCGTGCTTTTGCCCAAGGCTGACCTTAGACTGTGAGCCTCCTATCCCTGCCTGCTGTGTGGCTGAGACTATAAGTGTGCATTTTCCTCCCTGTAATATTTAATTGTTGGTACAATTTTGGATTTAGATGTCATTTTCACTTCTGAGAGTGAGATGTCTAGTCTCTCTGGAGTAAAGTAAAATGTGAAATTACTACTTTGGGAGTAGGTGATGGAGAAGTGTAAACACTCAGTGCTTGGAATATGGGGCTTCCAGGAAAAGAGTCCTATTGCAGGCACCAAGGTGCATTTATGTGGCCTTGTTTTTTAGTTTTTACACTTTTTTATGTGGGTAGAGGAAAAAGAGATAGCCAGAAATTACTATTAACCCTTATAACCCTAGGGGTTCAGCCTGAGACATGCACTAAAAGAGTTAAACTTAGCTCTTTCAGTGTTCAATGCATTGCATTATGTCAGATATTTTACATGTATGGTAATTTGAAAGCCACAGGCAGGCAGGATCCCACTTGTTCCTGCTTTTCCCATACCTCAACTCTCTCACCATCCCTGAAATACTGCCACAGATGCATCTTTCTTTGGGATATTTGTGGATTTGTTGCCTCTAGGAATTCCCTGCACAACTGGAGTGTAACACCCTGTTGGAGCTTTTGACTTCTTTGACTAACACATTGGTGAATAACAGCAATTGGAGAACCACCTTTCTCTGGCCTACAGCACAGAACAGGTCAGGTAGAATGGTGAGTGAGGATGGGGGACCCTCAGACACACTTGTCTTTCCACTGTGGGTCCCTTACCAGTGGATTGCTAGAGATTCAACTTCTCCATCTTCCTATGCCTGTGCTAGATAGGGGATGACCAGACATTTTTGTTCTTATGTCATGGATGACCAGAATGACTTAACAAATTTAGGAAATCAAACCAGCTTTTCTGACTCCCAGGCATCTGCTCTTTCCTCTTGAATATTAGACCACACTCTTATGTGGAGTTGGGATACCTTTTATTTGGTTTTATCATATGTCCTCAGCTCCACTCTCCCAATATAAAAGCTGTCCCTTTATTTATCACCCTTTATTTTTCAGTTTTAGAAAGGGAAAAGAACTAAATTTCATTTTGCCCTGAGATAATTTTGTGTCCCTTGAGCTAACTAAGAATACTGATTTGA